GTAACGTAACGGTTCTGTACAATATTCGGTGTACGCTGTCTACGCCATTTCCGTACTATTTTTGCCGCAAATCTTAATAATCCCAACTTCAAAATTACTAACTTCAATTTTTGTATGCCAATTAAATTCCTAAACAGGGGGTTGTTTTTCAGTTAACACGAAGTACCGCCAACAATAGACACTGTGCTAGAGGCCACTACTGCTGCCCCTTTGTTGACAGTGCACCCAAACCCAAAACAGAGAGCTAAATGAAGTAAATGTCTAGAATGTTTATACAGCCACCAAGCTTTCTGGTGGTCAATCGAACTTTCTACGGTGCACACATTCGTGCTACCACACCGGCAGCATTGTTTAAATCCAGGTACCAGGTGGTCAGTGCCTCGGTCCCCTCGGTCAGAGCGAACACCTCTATGTTCAGTGTTGTGGGTTTGCATACCATTTCATACCGCAGGGGCCAAGACACAATATGGGCTGACAGCATAGGCCAAGCACACCCCGTACAACTAAAAATGTTTACTTCTCTATTTACATTAGAATATATAATTTAGTTTTCTATATCATGGGTTCGTTTCGCAGTTTACACGAAGTGTTAACGTTTTTGGCCACGCCACCCATACCCCCTTTCTTCTATCGTCTTGAGCACCACTAATTTTTCTTATTTGTTTCTTTTCAGACTATCGCAGACGATGACGACTTGGAGAACATCGTTGATCCACCAGAAGGGATGCACGTGCGCCCCAGAGAACTACATTGGAGGGATAACTACCTGACTGACTCCATGGGGAAGCACGTGCGAGTCGGACTGGACTTGCGGTGCATGAGCCCGTATGTGCTATTCTACGGGTGGGGAAAAGCGGGGAAACAGCAATTTCTTCGCCTTTCCTTGGATGAATTTTTCGTCCTTATCAAGAATTCCATTGCGGGGAGGATAAGTTTGGGGTTCATGTCTAGGGAGATATATGCGCCGGGGGACACTTCCGATATCGGGGGTGTTACTATCAAATTTTTGTATTCAAGCGGGGAGTGGGTCTTGACCATAACGAGAGAAAAATTAACGCCATTCAACTGCAACTTTGGTCTTAAGTACAAGGGGTGGGAGCGGCTGTTCCTCTTGAGAGACACCCTCCGTGAGGAAATTGCCTCAATTACCGAAATCATCGCCAAAGTTAATTATATGTTGGCTTTTTTCCAACGTGAATTAAAAAGTGTAAATTCTGATTTAGAAGTGATAAAAGTAGGTAAGGGGTTTCTATCCCCTACGACAAAAATGTAGCACAGACTAAAAAACTGTTGCAACAGATTTTGATTTATCATCGAGATTTCCTTGTGCATAGGTCTAAGGTGTAGAGCAAAAAATGTAGAATAAGTGTTTTTGTAGGATTTTTATTTTATAAGCCTTTTTTATTCTTTATAAATCTACAAATGCTACTTCTTTGTTCTTCCTTTATTCCTGATAAATTGATCCTCTGGTTCTACAAAGAAAGAAATGACAATCAATTCCACACACTAAATCATCTCAGCATAGACATTCACTTTTAGCACACTTACCACTTCGAGGGGAAGGGGGGAGGCGAGAGAGGCACGGCGGGCAGCCACCCGCGTGGATCCTCCTCGTTGGAGCGTTTGAGCCCCCGCCCCCGCGCAATGAATTGTCGCTTGAGGGCGATGAGTCGGTACGGCACTGGTGACAGATAGGGTTCACTTCTATACACTGTTTACCCGATCACTTTACTCTTTGACACCCTCCTTTCTAATCACTCACCGGTTTCCGGGCTTGCCGGCAAAGGAGAAAGGAGCGGGGGCGGAGGCGTTCACAAGTTCAGCTCTTCCACCTTTGCACACTTCTCCCACCTTGGCACCCTTCGTCTTCGTTTCTTGCCTCTCTTCTTACACTCCTTTACCTCCTCCAAAAACGTACTTAATCTTGACTCAAACTCGCTAACGATGTCCATCCACGTTGACTGATAACACACTACTGATCCCCACAGCCTCCAGGGCACTAGGGCCGAGATAGGCCCGGTCATCGAGGGGTCGTGATCTCTTTCTTAAGTTCGACATACGGGAAAATGATGCCCGTTCTACCAAAAAAAATGCAAAAATTGTGAGAAAATTCTCGGATAGACTTAAAGGGTCCCGACAGGGCCGTTTAGAATCAGCTTAGGCAGCCCGCAATACAGTTTCCACGATTAAAATCGCCGTTTGGAAGGTTTTTACATTGGTACAAAATGTTGGTCACCTCGGCGAGTCATGTGGAATGCATGCCGGGTTGCAACCCCGCCGCTCCCGGTCAACCTGGGCCTCGAAAAGGTAAGAATTTCTCATATTTCGACAAAATGCCTAAAAAATGTATCACCTACGCATCTGGGAGTCATACTGGAAGGGAATTGGGTGACGGACAACTCGCCCCGGTTAACTCGCCCCGGTATAAATTCGTCCTAAACCCAACTCGACCCAGGTCCTACAACAAACTCGCCCCCAAAGTTTTTTTTTTTCAAATTCAAATTTGCAGCGCTTTCCGGAACACTCTGCTCTGCATTGTCAAGATGTGGTATTGTTGTGATTCGCCTAGCTAGCAGTCAGAGCAGGGCAGTCAGTCCAACGGGGGAGAAGGTCAGGTACACGACTACCCAAAGAGGGGCACGAAAGGCTATTTATGGTGGCTTCATGTTCACCTTCCATCGCGACGTCAAGCTCGAGGCGTCCTGTCGGTGTGAACAGCCGGGAAAATGCACCGGGCGCATAGTGGTCGACGGGCGGGACCGCGTGGTGGCCGACACGGAGACAGCCCACTCGCACGCTCCGGACTGGGGCCGGGGCAAGGCGGAGGGGACCGTGCAGACCATTAAGAAGTCGGCGGGCACATGGCGCGCTTCGACAGCATCAGTGATCCAGAAAAGTGTCTTACGCACGTGACGCTTGCGTGTCACAGACTGCCGGCTGCTGTGGTGCCTGTTCCACTTCGGGCAGGTGCTCTGCAGGAGGAGGGCCTCGCCGTGGCGTACCGCGCGGAGGAGAAGATGCGGACAGACTTCCACTCACAGCCTGATCGCCGTCGCCTTCGTGCCCGAGGACGACGTGGAGGCAGCCTTCGACGGGCTTGCAGCTGTGGCGGATGCAGCCCTCAACGCTGTCTTCAAGCACGTCGAAGACAACTACCTTCGCGGCCGGCTGCGGGCTCGCCGGCGTGGCGGTCGTGTCCAGGCCCGGGGCGCGCCCATGTTCCCGCCAGAGCTCTGGAACTGCTACGAGAGGACTGTCCAGGGGCTGCCGAGGACGACTAACACGTGTGAAGCCTGGCACCGCCGCCTCGGTACCCTGGTCGGTAAACATCACCCCCCCCCCCTCTACGTATTTCTCGACCAGCTGCAAGAAGAGATCGGCGAGGTCGACGTGCAGATCACCCGGGCGGTGGGCGGCTTCTCCCCTACAAAGCGTCGCTCAGCGCTCGAGGCAGCAGAGGCCCGCATCAACCGCATCGTCGACTGCTACGACGAGTACAAGGACGCCGATGATGTGCTGACATACGTCCGGCCATTTGGCACAACCTGGGAGGACGTTTCCACTAATCGTAGGAAATAAAGAACCATTTCTTGTGAAAACTTTAATTTTATTTTCCTATATAACTGGGGACGAGTTAACCCTGGGGCAAAAGGGGCGGGACCGTAAAGGGCATGGGACGAATTGGACCGGGAACGAGATAGTGGGGGCGAGTTGTCCTAGATCCAAGGGAATTCGGTCCGATCCTTACCTCCCAACCCCCAAC